AATTAACTTTGAATTTATAACTGAAAACATGAAAACATCCATTGTTGTAATACTCTGAAACACAACAGAAGTGAGAGACTTGTGCTAATTAAATTAGAATTAACTTTGAATTTATAACTGAAAACATGAAAACATCCATTGTTGTAATACTCTGAAACACAACAGAAGTGAGAGACTTTTACTAATTTTGATAATTAACATTTATTTTCACTTCAAAAATAAACATGGTGGCACCAACATGACATTTATTGTTAAAATAGGCAAAAAATACCAATTTAATTATATGAAAATTAGTTTCAAAGTTTTTTGTGAGACAAATAAAATCACAAGCGAAGTATCAAATATAAACAAAAACAACTAACAACCTGTAGAATTATTAACAAATGGTCAACGTGCACTGCCATTCTCCTCAAAGTCTTATCTGTAAACTTCAATGCAACAGGGCTAGATGCAACAGGTTTTCTGACAATCCTTGTGTCTAGCCATGATTATGATACTGTGTGATACTCTATCACACTATCTGGTGACTGCTCTGACAATGGCCTGTATTTGCTTCGCCCTTCTCATATGTGACTAGCTCTGCTTCTTGTCTGGTTTGACATCTTTTCATGTATATACTCTCAGACTGCTGTTCATCCATCTCTTAATGTTATCCTCCCACTAGTATTGTTGTCAAACTCTTGCCCGCCTGCCTTCAACTTTTCCCACGAGTAAGGATTTCAAAAAAGTGTCTTATGTCAAGTTTCAGAAAAGGCAACAGAAACTTTAAAAAGCTAGAACAGAAGTTACAATTCTAAACTATAGTTTTCAAACCAAGTTAATGTTTTTAATTTTTTTGTTATTTCAGTTTTAACATATGCCAGTGACCGTTGGAGAACCAATAAAACATGGAAAGTTTAATGCAATCGAAAAAAAAAATGCAAAAAAGGAAGAGAAATGTCCGGACAAATGCTTGTATCAGCAGTTGAAATAGAATGGTGGCAATATACTGGGCACATCATGAGCAAAAGCAGCTAAACAATTCTGAAACAGGCGCTGAAATAGGAAACAAATGGACTAAGTAAAAGAAACCTAAGACAAAAGTTGCTGAGAGAGGCAACGGATGCTGTAGTTAATTCCATAAATGATACTAAAAAGACTGCACAAGATAGACTGGAACAGAGGACTAGACTTCCATGTGCATATGTAAAGTTAAGGACTTCCATGTGCATATGTAAAGTTAAGGACTTCCATGTGCACATGTAAAGTAAAGAACTTCCATGTGCATATGTAAAGTAAAGGACTTCCATGTGCATATGTAAAGTAAAGGACTTCCATGTGCATATGTAAAGTTAAGGACTTCCATGTGCATATGTAAAGTTAAGGACTTCCATGTGTATATGTAAAGTAAAGGACTTCCATGTGCAAATGTAAAGTTAAGGACTTCCATGTGCATATGTAAAGTAAAGGACTTCCATGTGCATATGTATAGTAAAGGACTTCTATGTGCATATGTAAAGTTAAGGACTTCCATGTGCATATGTAAAGTAAAGGACTTTAATTTGCATATGTAAAGTAAAGGACTTCCATGTGCATATGTATAGTAAAGGACTTCCGTGTGCATATGTAAAGTTAAGGACTTCCATGTGCATATGTAAAGTTAAGGACTTCCATGTGCATATGTATAGTAAAGGACTTCCATGTGCATATGTAAAGTAAAGGACTTTCATTTGCATATGTAAAGTAAAGGACTTCCATGTGCATATGTATAGTAAAGGACTTCCATGTGCATATGTAAAGTAAAGGAATTCCATGTGCATATATAAAGTAAAGGACTCTTTTCCATGACTTCCATTTTTTTTTACAGACTAATTGTCACTCGGTGGGTGATGTGGTCAATATCATGCCAGCCACCTTTACTTCCCAGGACTTTACCTGGTACCCATTTTAAGCCAGGGTCGACCTGAGAGCCAAGGTCATTTTTGAAAAAGTCTGGCTCCATTGAGACCTGAATCCATGACCTTTGGATCTGCAGGGGATCAAGATAAATCAATGAGTGATAGGTCAATATCCCACTGACCACCTTTACTCCCCAGGACATTTCCAGATATCCATTTTAGGCTGGACTGACCCCTAGAGTCTCTGTCAGTGAAAACAAATTTCTTGACCTAATGGGGATTCTAATATGACCAATGGGCAGCCAGGCAACTGCTTTTACCGCTCCCTAATGATCAAATGTCCAAGATAAATCCTAAGGTGACCACTGATGGGAGACGCCAAAGGCGCTGGGCCAGATTCCATCCATGATATTGAAGTGATTGAGCAGGATAAAATGAGATGGGGAAATAGACTGCGAGCCCTATGTGACATATAATGGCACAACAGGATAGTGAATGAATCAAAAAGATCAATACTGATAAATTTCAGTTGAATGTTCTATATAATCAACTTCAGTCCAATACTCCACAGAACCATCAGCCATCAGAAAATTAGGCACAATTATTATACCAAATATGGATTTGTTTCTAATCCTCACTGGCCTGATTGAACTGCTGACATTTCCTGGCAAACTCTGTTGAAATGCTTAGCACAAAATGTACAGATCGATCTGGCTTCACAAACACAGCATGTCTAAAAGGTAACACAGTCACATAGCAACAGTTTGCCAAGTTAGTTACACATTTGAAATGACAGACAATACCAAAGCCTGTGGTGATTAACAAAGTTCTGTTTGTTGTGTGAGCTGTGTGATGTGAAAAAGCTGTGAACTCTCACATAATCTGTTTGTGGAAAATACAAACAATACAATGAACTGGCTGAAAAACAAAAAGGGACAATTCTAAATGGTGAAGACAATGACAAACTGATGAGAACAATTAAAGGTTGTTTTGGACATCCTAGGATGGTGGACTTCTTTTGGACATGTGACACGGGAGACAAAATGTCACACTTGATAACAACAGGTAAATGCAAGTAAAAAAGATGAACATAGACTAGGATATACATATCTCAGCCATTTGGCCAAATGGTTTCACAACAAAATAACACAAACCTTATGGGAAAAGATATAAATGAAGACAAATTGGTGAGTGGTGACTGGTTCAGTCAAATGGCATATCAGGAATAAAAGCCAGACAGTATATATAGTTAAAATTGTGTGAAATGGTAAGTATGACTGTCCACACTCGCTGACATGGCACATAATGATGATCATCAAAGGCAAGTAATGATGGATGTGACCCTAAGAATAAAAACAAACAGAAAACCCTCAGCTTTGGTTTTGTTTTTTTAAATTTTAAACAGAACTGAAAGAATCACATAACTCAACCGACTAAGCATCAGTCTACTGCAGTGATGTCTTCTACTACCGTCCCGATATGGGACGTCATTTTCTTTATTTTAAAGCCCCACTCCGCCTATAGTCAGGGACCCTAATATATACCTAAGGGTTGAACAGGATTTCTGGGACCTGTCCACAGGTGATCCTCATCCACATGGTGGCACTTTGTGTTGCCGGTGTTTATCGCTTGGTGGATGCCTAGTGGGGTTGAATCTCTCTCATTCATTCACTGCAGTGATTCTGTTGAGATTTCACATCTGTGAGCCAGGTCATAATTCAGGAAAAGCCCAGACGGACTGGCTGGGTTGCTCATGTTTCTACCGGCATGATGTATCTTGTCAACAGTCTCCAAACTACTGCTAACAAGGAAATCATAATAAACATGTTTTAATCTTTCCTGTCCTTGCTACCTTATTTTTCTACTTTTTTAGGTATGAAGATACAGGGCCACATGGCTGGTGCAGTTGCTAACAGCTGTGCAGGCCAGGAATTTAATTTCTTTCCCCCTATAGAAACAAATGTCAAGCATCCTACTGAGGGTTTGAAGCCAGATATATCAAAAACACCACTCAGCTTCTATCTTCCATTTCCTCTTCATATTGTTGTTGACACATATGTCATTCACAAGTGATCTTCACTGCTGTCAGCCAACTGCTGTTCTGCCTACAACCCATCAGCTGGAATACAGGGTCACTGAGAATGATTGCCGGGATTTTAAACTGTTTTTATACAAAAGGTATTTAATAATATGCACATATGGTGTCTTTAAGTGTTCAGAAAAGTTTAAAGTTGTGTGTGACCGTGTGTGACTGTGTGTGACCGTGTGTGACCGTGTGTGACCGTGTGTGACCGTGAAACTTAAAACAGCGCTAAGAAGAAATAAAAAAAAGAATGAAGCCCATTAAAGAGATGGCCGCTGCTGCAACTGCATCTCTGGACACACACCACACAAACAACGTGGCAGGAGACTGAATACCACCTAGACATCACAGGACATCATTTTTTTCTGAACATTTTCAGACACCAAATGTGTACATCTAATAAATACTTCTTTGACTACAACAGCTAAAAATCCTGGCACGATTCAAAAGTCGTGGAAGAGATTAAATACCGTTTAGACATCACTAGAGTTCTAAGTCCATATTGAAGTGTACTATTGTATGTCTAAAACTTTAAACTCTTCTGAACCTTTCAAGATGCCACATGTATACATTTATTAAATACGTCTTTGATAATAACAGTTTAAAATCTCTGCAATCATTCTCGATGACCCTGTATTTAGTAAATCTTCAAACCATGAAAAACGGTTTATATTCTACATTTAAATGTTTTAAACACAGCATAATTTATTATCCTCTTCATAAAATATGATGATGATGATGTTGATAGTAACAATGATGCCAAAGGAATGTTTTGAGCAGAGCATTCTCGTGAGTTGTATGCACATCTAGTCAATGTTTCAGGTGTGGCATGAGATGATCACAAATCTGCACACTTTTTGGTGACTGCTTTGACAATGGCTTGCATTCGATTGCCCCCTTCTCATATGTGACTAGCTCTGCTTCTCGCTTGGTTTGGCATCTTTTCATGTGTGAACAATGTGCTGATCTATATAAAAGATGAACACAGGATCAAACACAAACAGGACAGCCTTATAACACATCTAGCTCCCAATTCCACATCAAAGCAGGTCATAGAAGTAATCCAAGCCTTGGCCAATCTCCCAGATGGAGACTCCTGTGCCCAGCTCTTTAGCCAGGTTCAGTCGAGCTTGAATGGACTTCAAGGTAGGGTAGTATATCTGGTGTTGCCCAACAGAGTTTCTGTATATATGAAAACAGTTTCAAGTGCTAGTATGAATATATTAGGGGAAAAGAGACATATATATGAAAACAGTTCAAGTCCTAGTATGAATACATAAAGGAAAGAAAGACATATATATGAAAACAGTTAAAGTGCTAGTATGAATACATAAGGGAAAGAAAGACATAAGTACTTCTTCTTCTGTCTTAATCAATTCTCCCCAATTAGCCATTACACTCCACGCCCTTCTCACTTTATTTTTTGTCAGCATCTAAGTATCTTCTCAATGTGTTTTTGATATCTCTTTATTTCTCTGGTCCTGTGGGTTTCAGCGCAAAGGCATTCCAATTATATTATCAGGTTTCCTAAGTGTGTGTCCTAACCAATATCGGCAAATTATCCTCACCTTGATTTATTAGAAACTGCCTAGTTTTATCATAAAATGCTGTTTAGTGATTCTAGCAGACAATTCAATTGCTTCTGTTCTGCACAGGCACCATGTAGTTGTTTGTCTGTAGTTTTCTGGTAAATGTTGTCAAACTCATGTTTCTACTCCATATATTGGAACTGATCTGGTGTTAGATTTAAATACCCCTGTGTGGTTTCTAGGGCCTCACTGTGGAAGAAAAACTGAACAGCCTGCCCCCCCCCCCCCCCCTTCCTCCAAACAAGCATATCATAAAAGTTGACTAATAGTTGCATATAAGCCAGATTTGTAAAATGGATGTGCACACCACACTCAATTTCTCAATACATCAATACATAGCACACACCAAAACTCGCAACATACACTAAACAGGGGCTAGAGACAGGAAAATGAGCGCAGGCCAAGAGTTAGACGTGTGTAACTAGTGACAACTACTATCTAATGCAGGAGTGATATTTAATCCCACCAGGACCGCACCACCAGCGATAAACACCTTGTGACACAAAGTGCCACTATTTGGCTAATAAATACCTGGGTAAAAGTCACAGAAACCCTGTTCAAACATTAGGTTATCTACTAGGGCCCCCGACATCAGCAGGGGTGGAGCTTTAAAGTAACAACACACTGTCCTTTAAAGGGTTGATGATAAAGACTATCTAATGCACAGACACAGGGACTTTATACTCAGCAATCATTCTGTTTCCATAATGAAGCTTGGTTGCACTGGATGGATTTCTGAAACTGCCTCTCACCTTGCTTGTACATACAGACTTACTATTAAAGCTCTTCCCATCTCTGGTATTTTTTTTTAATTTTATTTTTATTTTTTCAAAAGCCACAGATAGAACTGATGACAAGGCATTAGATGGCCACAGTGATTTTTCGTTAGAGACAGATGAGAACAAACTAAACAACTATTACACGGATGAGAGTATTGACAGTGACGAGTTGTTTTTTTAATTCTGTGATGAAGCACACATGGGTTCAATAACTTTATGTAATCATATTATCTCCCCCCCCCCCCGCCCTCACCCCCCCCCCCTCCCAACACCCCAAAAAATCCAATCCCAAAATCAAAGTGTGTTTTATGCATGGTACTGTCTTGTACTTTGGGAAATATGGTAATGTTACTTAAAAACCGTATGTAAAAGAATGCATTCAGCAATAGTACCAACACCATCTTGTGGAAACTACAACAACAACAGACACAGAAACCTACTTGTAATCAATCACATGCTCTGCAACATTCTCATCCCATCGAATGAATGGTTTGCTTTTCTTCAGTATGTCAATATATCTGTTTAACACGAAAACAAACATGACAGACTGTCCAGAATTATGTAGTGTATTCTCATCAGATTACACAGAAATAAATAAATCAAGTGCCATCTTCACAACTGAGGTTGCCTGCAGTAAGTCGGAGAGGATGCTGTTGGACTATCTCTTATTTTTTCCCTCTGCTTGTTACTTTTTGTCCATACTGACATCCTAGCACACCGGCCTGACCCTTTCATGCTCCTTTCTCTGATGCAACACTTCTGACTGACTGATTAACTGACTTGAGAATCCACATCCTAGCACATCGGTCTGACCCTTTCATGCTCCTTCCTCTGATGCAACACTTCTGACTGACTGATTTACTGACTTGAGAATCCACATCCTAGCACACCGGTCTGACCCTTTCATGCTCCTTCCTCTGATGCAACACTTCTGACTGACTGATTAACTGACTTGAGAATCCACATCCTAGCACATCGGTCTGACCCTTTCATGCTCCTTGCTCTGATGCAACACTTCTGACTGACTGATTTACTGACTTGAGAATCCACATCCTAGCACACCGAGCATACCCATAGATGCTCTGTCTCCCACAGCAAATGACATAAGGTGTAGATGCTAACTATTTCTGTAGCAAAACTTCTGCCACTGTCAATTTTTTACTTGTCTAACTTTGGAGGGGACCTCCATTAGGATTTTTTTGTTTCAAGTGGCCAAGAATGTTACTTTACTGTATTCTTTTTTTTTTTTTTTCAATGACTCATTTTTTAAAACTGCCTTTCTAGAACCTATGTATTTATGTCTGTTCCCATGAAATACAATCTTTTCTTCTGTATATTCCTAACACCACAGCCTTATTTTGATTTCCTAATTGTGCATCTGATATACAAGTTTTGACATCATATAGCAGTATAGAAAAAACATACAAACTGACTATTCTGATTTTAAATGGGTTCTTAACTTCGATGTAATACATTTTTTTTTTTAATTGCTAAATATACCACCTTTACAGAGACTACCCAAAACTGTGAAAGCAGCCAGGGGTGCAAGACTGGTACTCAACTGCACAATTTCAGACAGGCATTAACCCTTTCACCCTAGAAGGCTGCTATTTTTGGCTTTGCAGTCTGTTAGCATTCCTCATGAAGCACAAGGCTTTGTGCACAGGTCTGTCCCTGATTCGCTTAATGGCACTGGTTCTATCTGTTCTTGTGGAGTGTTGGGGGGGGGGGGGGGGGGTTTATGTTTACTTAAAATAGCGGGGGGGGGGGGGGGGAGGGGGGTAGGGGGTGTTACTATGAAAATATTTTTTTTTTAAATAGTCTCTTCAAGACATCATAACTCACCTTTATCAACAGGGTATGAGTCACCATTCATATTTTTTTAGAACCAAGGGAATATATTCTATTTAATTATTTTTTCATTCAAATTCACTAATTACTCCCTTTCATATATTTCTTTAAAATGTATATAAATTAATTTCAACAAAAAAAATAAAATATAAATATAAATATATAAGTGACGTGTGTAAAATGGTTGTTTTATTATTTGTTTTTTGGGGGTGGGGGAAAGGGGGCAGGAATTACCATGCTCAGTATCTTTCCCCAAGGGTTTTTGAGGTGAAAGAGTTATGTGATGAATCACCATATCACAAATTTTTCAGACTGGGCCTAGGCTGATGTTGTCACCTTCATACTGAGTCTGCAATTACCAATGGATTCACTGCAAAATTACACCCTTGTGACAGAACCATCTTTGACAGTTGTAAACACACAGAAACAATAAGACACAGGGATGGCAAGGAATGAGTTGCAAGAAATGCAGATGTTTACTTACTGTGACCCGATCAAATGCTCCCCTCCACCACCGACCAAGTAGTGAAGACCATAAAAATTCAATCCCACAAGCAACTTCTTTCTCAGAGGGGAACCCTGCTCAGGAGCCAGAGCCAACACACAGTCTCGTATCCACATCAAGGGGCTGTTGGGTCCCGGTCTTGGGGCATAAGTCATTGCTGTTATTTTGCAGTCAATATCATATGAAAAGGAATGTAAAAGTAAAAAAAAAAGAAAAAAAAAGTAAAGATCCTTTTTACACCTGTTGGTGCATCGGGATTATGATGATAGTCTCATATTTTTATGGACCACTTACTGGGTGATGTGGTTAAAATTATGCAGCTGGACAAATGTATACTTCCAAATATCTCACACAAGTTCACCAGTAATAATGGAATTATTTCCCTCACATTACACAATCTGCAACAAACAGGTCTCTGCTTTATATTATTTATTAATTACTTATATTATGGTCTCTCTCTCTTTTTCTCTCTCTCTCTCACATACACACACACACAAATATACACACACTGACACACACCCTCTCTCTCAATAATACCAAAAAAAATATATTTCAGTGATACCTAATGGTATCCATTCCCATAATGCTAAACGGTACCCAAACTTCCTTTCTCTTTCTCTCTCTCTCTTTCTCTTTCTCTCTCTCTCTCTTGCTCTCTCTCTCTCTCTTTCAGTATATAAAAAATATATCCCAAGGGTATCCATATCATTTTTCTCTCCTCACCACATACACATAGCAATACAATTTTTTTGCATAAATTCAATAAACACAAGAAATATTTATTTCTTGGGGGGAAAAAACATTACACACCAAATATACCTCACTGATATATACGGATGTGAAACACCATCTGGTCTACCCTACCTGCTGGGATTGGAGAAGTCATAGGTCATGAAACAACTATCATATAAGGAGGTGAAACACCATCTGGTCTAGACTACCTGCTGGGATTGGAGAAGTCATAGGTCATGAGACAACTATCATGTATGGAGGTGAAACACCATCTGGTCTACCCTACCTGCTGGGATTAGAGAAGTCATAGGTCATGAGATAACTATCATATAAGGAGGTGAAACACCATCTGGTCTAGACTACCTGCTGGGATTGGAGAAGTCATAGGTCATGAAACACCATCTGGTCTACTCTACCTGCTGGGATTAGAGAAGTCATAGGTCATGAGATAACTATCATATAAGGAGGTGAAACATCATCTGGTTTACTCTACCTGCTGGGATTGGAGAAGTCATAGGTCATGAGACAACTATCATATAAGGAGGTGAAACATCATCTGGTTTACTCTACCTGCTGGGATTGGAGAAGTCATAGGTCATGAGACAACTGTCATATAAGGAGGTGAAACCATTGATCTACTCTACCTGCTTGGATTTGAGAGGTCATAAGTCTAAGAGTGAACTATCAAATAAAGAAATAAGGAGGTGAAACACCATCTGCTCTACTCTACCTGCTGGGGTTGGAGAGGTCATAGGTCATGAGTCTGAACTATCATATAAGGAGGTGAAACATCATCTGCTCTACTCTATCTGCTGGGGTTGGAGAGGTCATAGGTCATGAGTCTGAACTATCATATAAGGAGGTGAAACATCATCTGCTCTACTCTACCTGCTGGCATTGGAGAAGTCAAGGTCATGAGGCTGAACTATCATATAAGGAAGTGAAACATCATCAGGTCTACTCTACCTGCTGGGATTGGAGAAGTCATAGGTCATGAGACAACTATCATATAAGGAGGTGAAACATCATCTGGTTTACTCTACCTGCTGGGATTGGAGAAGTCATAGGTCATGAGACAACTATCATATAAGGAGGTGAAACACCATGTGGTCTACTCTACCTGCTGGGATTGGAGAAGTCATAGGTCATGAGACAACTATCAAACTATCATATAAGGAGGTGAAACACCATGTGGTCTACTCTACCTGCTGGGATTGGAGAAATCATAGGTCATGAGACTGAATCTGTCAACATTTGCTGCCATGGCATCCACATCCTCCTTGCTGATGAGACCATCAAAAGACCTGCAAATATTTTATTCACTTCTGTATAATCAAAGCATTCAACCTTAAAAGCATATTTAAGCCATGTGCATAAATAGGAAAAGGGCCCTTTTCACGCAGCTGGTGCACTGGGAAAATGATAGTTAAAGTAGTAGGTTAAGATCCCTTTTTAGCCTTTAGGAGCATCAGGCATATGAGAAGAGCATCTATATTTTTATAGACCAATCGGCACTAGGTGGGTAATATGGTCAGCCTTATGCTGGCCGTCTTTACTTCCCCAGGACATATATCCTGGTACCCATTTTAGGCTGGGTCGACCTGCGACGCCCTCTACCAATATAAAAATCCACGCAGCCAGCAACACCTGAGCCACGGAGGCCGCTGGGAAAATTATACTAGACTAATATTTTAATAGATCAACTGGCTCTCACTAGGTGATATGGTCATCATTACTCCAGCCATTTGTACTTACCAGGAATTAAGCTGGTACCCATTTTAGGTGTGGTCGACCTTGCAGCCAAGTTTTTTTTTTTTTTTTTCAATCTGGCTCAATACAGGTTTGAAACAAAGATCTTTGGGCCAACGGACTATCACCTAGCCGTCACACCATCTTGACTCCATAATTTACATAGGTGCATTAAAAATGTGTTTACTGGAGCATTCTATATTCCACATAAGGAAGCTGTGATAGTGCAGTGACTAGCACAACAGGTCCGACTCATCTGCATGCAGACTGTTGGTTTTTTACCTCTCTGGCAGACGTACTCCGACTCTGAAGGAAGCTCCCAATTAGTCAACTCTTATGACATGCTTTTTGGCATGCAGTGGGGTCTATTCTTTTGGCAGGCAGTGTGTTTTCCACACAATGGGGCCCTGTAACCTAAACAGGGAAATTGGGTAATGACCTCGTCACAATCCCAGCAAAAAAAATTTCCTTTAAAAAAAAAAACCTTTTTAAAAAGATCACTAACAAACTGGTTAAAAATGAATCCACATTTCTTCCCCGAAATATATAAAGATATATGAAGGGAGTAATTAATGAAAATGAACAGGATAAGGCATTAAATGGGAAAAAAACATATGTATCAGGTGACTAATGCTGTGACCCTATGAACTCTATCACTGAGGCGCATAGAAAAATTTGATGTCAACTGGGTTTCAAAAAAATACTATTAAGCTCAAAGGAAAACCCCTTTGTGCCATTTTTTTTGTTAACGTATTCATATTCTGACCTCCAAAATATTTGCACAGATGATAAAACAGCCACAGCATTAACTGTGCGTCTCGTACAGGAACTGTAGACAAGTCAGAAAAGTGACATTTATGGGGAATTGGATCCAGCGGCAAGCAGCAGTTCTGCAGATTCCCTGGGTGAAAAGGGTTTAGTACCCTTTAAGGCAGGAAATTTTTTTCAGTGACCTGGACTTGCCTGGGCATGCCTGTTTGCCAGCCCGGTAGTCATGTCTGAAACCCCATACAGCTGATTTATTAAAACTTCTTTCATCGTCTTTCATTCATCTGACATAGATTATATACATCTGCAATGTTGTCTCTAGAATTTACTTAACTGTATTTTTTTAATTCCCTTAATTCCACCAGTAGGGCTTCTTCTAGCCAGAAGTTTTGCTTTGATATGTTGTATTTAGGACAGTCTTGGAAGATACGATCTGGTGTCTCAGGTAAAAATCCATATGTGCACATGGTTAATTCACTAATCTTAAATTCTGTGTATACGTGGCTACAAAGTTGAATGTGCTCTGTACCAAAGCATAGAATAATGATCTGCTCTGGTCTGTTCATAATATGGAATCACTTTGTGCCTGCGTTGATTACTTTCTGACTGATTTCATTCTTCTCTTCTCTTTTATTAAACTGACTAAGGTTCTACAGTCGATGATGCTTAAAAGTGGTAACAGGAAATGTCATGGGATATAAAGGCATGAGAATGACCACATCATCACTGGTCTATACAGATCTGAGGCAAGCATTATCTATCCCCAAAAATATACAGGTATAAAAATTGCTGTAAGTCTTCAATTCATTATACATCAACATCTGGCCAGATAGGACATACGTTTGACAAAAACCAACTGGTGTGGAACACAAACCTGGCATACAGAGGAGGTGGAATCACTAGGATGAGTTCTTTCTTCGCTTCGTGAAACATTTCTCCCATGTGATTAACAAAGTGGATGAGATCTCTGCAGGGCATTAACAAACACATGAAAAAAATTAGTGACAAAATCAACGTAACCAACATGTCTGACCCTACATTCCAGCTTCAAGATTTTGCTGGAACTGACATCATCACTAGTCCACGTCTGTGGCTTAGGCATTGCGAACACACTTCGTAATGCCAGGGTACCAGGTTCGATCCCAGCTGTGGGCCTTGCTCTGGTTTTGACAGTAGTATCAAGAAGCTGACTGACCAGAAAGCAATGGCAAACTACTGGACGAAATTATGCCTAGAAAAACCACAATAGCTTAAAAAAAAAATGCTGGGGTTGGTTCTGCAATGTCCTGTAAAGGATACGCAACTAACTTTAACAGCGAAGGGTAGTGTGTGTGTGTGTGCGAGAGAGAGATGGGAAGAGAGAGAGAGAGAGAGAGAGAGATTCCCACTGGCACAGCAGTGCAGCAGTTGCAGGGAGACCTGTATGTTGTGAAGTTGGAACCTCGACTAACCTAACCCTTAAAAAGATTTATGGTAAAAGAATAAATTTTGCTGACTTGTGTTTTAACTCATATGGCCCAGTCTCTTGCTCTCTTTGCAGAGCAGCTGGTCAGCGATGAGAGTGTTGCACAAGGCATATCCACATCCAGCAGCTGGTCACCCATGAGAGTGTTGCACAAGGCATATCTACATCCAGCAGCTGGTCAGCCATGAGAGTGTTGCACAAGGCATATCCACATCCAGCAGCTGGTCACCCATGAGAGTGTTGCACAAGGCATATCCACATCCAGCAGCTGGACACCCATGAGAGTGTTGCACAAGGCATATCCACATCCAGCAGCTGGACACCCATGAGAGTGTTGCACAAGGCATATCCACATCCAGCAGCTGGTCACCCATGAGAGTGTTGCACAAGGCATATCCACATCCAGCAGCTGGTCAGCCATGAGAGTGTTGCACAAGGCATATCCACGTCCAGCAGCTGGCTGGTCACCCATGAGAGTGTTGCACAAGGCATATCCACATCCAGCAGCTGGTCACCCATGAGAGTGTTGCACAAGGCATATCTACATCCAGCAGCTGGTCAGCCATGAGAGTGTTGCACAAGGAATATTCACATCCAGCAGCTGGTCACCCATGAGAGTGTTGCACAAGGCATATCCACATCCAGCAGCTGATCAGCCATGAGAGTGTTGCACAAGGCATATCCACATCCAGCAGCTGGTCACCCATGAGAGTGTTGCACAAGACATATCCAGCAGCTGGTCAGCGAGAGAGTGTTGCACTGGCATATCCACATCAGCTGGCTGGTCACCCATGAGAGTTACACAAGGAATATCTACATCCAGCAGCTTGTCACCCAAGGCACATATCCACATCCAGCAGCTGGCTGGTCACCCATGAGAGTGTTGCACATGGCATATCCACATCCAGCAGCTGGCTGGTCACCCATGAGAGTGTTGCACAAGGCATATCCACATCCAGCAGCTGATCAGCCATGAGAGTGTTGCACAAGGCATATCCACATCCAGCAGCTGGTCAGCCATGAGAGTGTTGCACAAGGCATATCCACATCCAGCAGCTGGTCAGCCATGAGAGTGTTGCACAAGGCATATCCACATCCAGCACTGACCATGGAGATCACAGATATAACTGCACTTGCAAACCATCTATTTAGAGGTCCACCACCAAACTCACAACCTTCAGAGTTAGAAGCAAACAGCCTAACCACTTTGCCACTGAGACCCTCTTATGTTGTTGTTTTATCCTAATGACAACAGCATTTCACCCATCAAAATTTCAGGAGACTCGTTTAACATTGTTGTTTTACCCTAATGACAACAACATTTCAAACCATCAACATGGTTGATGGTAATATGCAAATTTAAAAAATGGTGAGTACACTGCTGCCAAAGATAAATGGTGACACCTTATGTCATTAACTATTTGTGTAACAACTGATATGTTGTAACTGCTGCTTCCATCGACAATGAACGGCATTCTTAGTGTCGGACTGTTTATGCTGGCACTTTTGGTGGCTGTCTTATTTATTTCATGAATGTATATGCTCCTGGCTTTGCTGAGACTACTGTCTGTATCAATTTTTCCCAAGGGATAGTGATGGACATTCAGTGTGATTTTTGCTGGAACAGAGCTCTAGAGTTCAAGGGAACGAGCATGCAGACTATCTTGCTGACACTGCTGTTGCTATGGCTTGTCCAGTACTGGACAGAAGTGATGTTATCAATGCCATGTGCTGCACTTATCGTATTGAGGACATGGGGGTGCAGCCTGGAGCTGCAAGAAATGAACATTTCACTAAAGGGACAAGACATTAACCAACACAGAACAGGCATCATCTGCCGTTTTACATTTGTGGAGCTTTTGAGTAGGAGACCGGAGCACCTATGGATCTGTCTGGAGGGCTGTGATGATAATCCTTTCTAATTACTAATCACTGGAACAGAGCAACTATGGGGGGAGATATTTGCTATGAAGTGGGAACTATGATAACCTGATTATAATACCAGCATCCTCAACAATCATGCTAGAATGTATTTTTAGGGCTAGATTTTTTCCGCCAGGGAAACAAGGTAAATAAAACATTTTCACTGACATTTCCTGCCTCACTAGTAAAAACTATTCTATTCTGAGGCATATGCTTACAATTGCAAACACTAACTTTAAGGAAAAATAAAAAGATATATATATATATATATATATATATATACTCTCTATTTGCTGAAACTATATTTATTGGTACTTTTTATGACTTCTCAGCCATTAACTAGACTTCTATGTTATGCTATTTATCACCAGACTTTTTTAACGGTTTCATAATTTGTGTCAATGTATTAATATTAATATATAAATTATTTTAGACACACAGTGAGAGTTTAATAAAATGAAACAGCAAGAACATTCAAACAGCATCAAACATACTTTCGCCGCTTGCCCCCAAGTTGTGGCCAGACCTCTACAACAGCACCAGACCACTTGTAGCTCTAGACAATGAGACATTACACAAACCTTTACATTTCCCATCTGGACATTGATAACATTAAGGTACACCCAATTTCAATAAATCAGTAATGAGCTTCTGTACTTGGCATCACTTATACTAAAGCTTGTAGAGACCTAACACTTCACACACTCAGCTGCAACATCTGCCATAAGACAACCTGTACCTCTTACTGATGCAGCAGCATATGTTTACCCTGGCAAACAGAACCCTGGCAGTGTAGCAGCGAGATGCTGGCCTGCTGGCCTGAAGGTCTGGGATCCATATTTGCATTGAGGCAATGTTTGTCCTTTCTTCTTCTACTTCTTCTTTGTTCACCAGCTGTAAGCTCCAGCGGAAAGTCCTGGTTGTTCGTCCATTTGGACTTTGGCTTTGTGCCATGGCCCAAGTTTTGCCTGTACCTCCCTTTTACTGTCTTATTTGTGTGCATCGGGCAGATTTACTCCTACGACATGCTTGTTGGGGAGGCAGTGGGTCCATTTTTGTCCCCCCCCCCCCCCCCAGTGGAAGCCTGGAACACAGACAGGATTTCTTTTCCTTTCAAAACTGACTGTGTCTCACAGGTCGACCTTCCTAAAATGGGTGCCAGGTGATCTGCTGGGAAGTAACCTTGGCCGGCGTGATACTGACCACATCACCCACAGGGGGCCAACTAGTCTATAAGATATAGGTCTAGCACTATCTGCCTGGGCCGGTGTGATACTGACCACATCACCCACTGAGTGCTAACTGGACTATACAACATAGGTCTAGCACTTTCTGCCTAGGCTGACGTGATACTGACAACATCACCCACCGAGTGCTGACTGTCTATCAAATATTGGTCTAGCACTATCTGCCTGGGCCGGTGTGATACTGACCACATCACCCACTGAGTGCTAACTGGACTATACAACATAGGTCTAGCACTTTCTGCCGAGGCTGACGTGATACTGACAACATCACCCACCGAGTGCTGACTGTCTATCAAATATTGGTCTAGCAATATCTGCCTGGGCCGGTGTGATACTGACCACATCACCCACCGAGTGCTGACTATCTATCAAACATTGGTCTAGCACTATCTGCCTGGGCCGGTGTGATACTGACCACATCACCCACCGAGTGCTGACTGTCTATCAAACAAAGGTCTAGCACTATCTGCCTGGGCTGGTGTGATACTGACCACATCACCCACTGAGTGCTAACTGGACTATAAGATATTGGTCTAGCACTATCTGCCTGGGCCGGTGTGATACTGACCACATCACCCACCGAGTGCTGACTATCTATCAAATATTGGTCTAGCACTATCTGCCTGGGTCGGTGTGATACTGACCACATCACCCACTGAGTGCTGACTGTCTATCAAACATTGGTCTAGCACTATCTGCCTGGGCCGGTGTGATACTGACCACATCACCCACCGAGTGCTGACTGTCTATCAAATATTGGTCTAGCACTATCTGCCTGAGCCGGTGTGATACTGACTACATCACCCACCGAGTGCTGACTGTCTATCAAATATTGGTCTAGCACTATCTGCCTGGGCTAGTGTGATACTGACCACATCACCCACCGAGTGCTGACTGTCTATCAAACATTGGTCTAGCACTATCTGCCTGGGCCGGTGTGATACTGACCACATCACCCACCGAGTGCTGACTGTCTATCAAATATTGGTCTAGCACTATCTGCCTGGGCCGGTGTGATACTGACCACATCACCCACCGAGTGCTGACTGTCTATCAAACATTGGTCTAGCACTATCTGCCTGGGCCGGTGTGATACTGACCACATCACCCACCGAGTGCTGACTGTCTATCAAATATTGGTCTAGCACTATCTGCCTGGGCCGGTGTGATACTGACTACATCACCCACCGAGTGCTGACTGTCTATCAAATATTGGTCTAGCACTATCTGCCTGGGCTAGTGTGATACTGACCACATCACCCACCGAGTGCTGACTGTCTATCAAACAAAGGTCTAGCACTATCTGCCTGGGCTGGTGTGATACTGACCACATCACCCACTGAGTGCTAACTGGACTATAAGATATTGGTCTAGCACTATCTGTCTAGGCCAGCGTGATACTGACCACATTGCACACAGCCCTGTATGCGAGTGTGCGTGAAGGCATGGAAAAGGGATCTTTACTTTTTCTTTCTTTACTTTTACTCTGTGCCTGATGCATCAGAAGCAGAAAAATGTTCCTTTACCATATTTTAGTTTACACTGGCAAACAATAATTCATAAATGAATAATATTCAAATATCATCTTCTTTTTTCTTCTGCCTTTCTAGCCCCCAATGGAGCAAAGGCCCTCAGCCAACGCACGCCAAGTCGTTCTATCCTTTGCTATTGCATGCAGCTCTCCCTATGTCCTCCCCATCTTTCTAACTTTATTCTCAAGCTCCCTTCTCCATGTGTTTTTTGGCCTTCTTTCATTCAAAAACCAACCAACCATGGATAAAAAGAGAAGCAAGTAAAATCCAGCCAACTAAGATGAAGGCAGGCTCTTCAAGTAGAAGAAGTATGACACGGTGTGGAGAAAGTCGAAAGGAGCCCGGATCGTCCACATACCTCCTCTCACCCAGGAAAACCTCCAGAATTGGCACCTGGAATGTAGAACTCTCCATGATATTCAAATATAGAGAAAATTATATAGACCCTTTCCTAGATTGTGTCACTACATGAACAGACAGAACTTTTCTGGATTACAACCGTCTAGAGGAAAAAAAGGAACTGAAACAAAAGGTTAACTCAACAGCTACACCTGTCCATGCCATTTTAACCGTTACAGTGTTGAGGGTTACATGTTACACACTGATTATTTCAGATCAGCATCTGATAATATGACCTGGTAAACATAAGGTCTTATATTAGATGTTACAGCGTTGAGTATTGTATGAAAAACATTTATTTTACAGATGAGCCTCGGAAAATGTCAACTACTAAACACAAGGTTTAATATTAACCTGTGAGGGCCATAAGAATCTTTTAAAAATACAAAATAAAAAGAAATATCTGGTTTTACAATTTTGTTGCAAAACATGCATCCTTATAATTCCCTGAAACTCTCAGAAACTAGAGGACGAGAAGAAGAAGAAGCAGAAGAAATCTTGAGTTTTGGTGAGTTTTAATAAATATCCAAGCGGTGAAACCCCTAGAATACAGAGCAGAAAGGTAAGGTGAATGCCACAGCTTGTTCATGGCCATCAAATCACTAGAAAAATATATTTTTTTATCCACTTCAAGTCACTATTTTGGGAAAGGTAATTTTTTTATGTGAAGGGAAGTCATCATTACATACAAAGGAAGCAAAGAATGAACTCTTCTTTTCCTCTGACCAAGAAAAAAAAGTTGTTTCTGTTTTGTTCGTGTGATTGTGAAGTTATTATGACACCACGATGAGGTCACTGCTAAAAAAAAAAAAGCTTTTTTTTTCACCCTTAAAAATATCATAAATTTTTTTTAAAATATAATTGTAACTTAAATATAGTTGTAACTACCATGTCTACAGACTAGACAATTACAGTCATTACTAAAGCTGTTATATAGGCATACAAAAATATGTAATCCGGGGGGCTGAGTGGTCTCGAGGCATGGAGTCCACTTCAGGTGCTGGAGGTCGCAGGTTCAAGCCCTGGTGAGAGCTTGGATTTTTTTTTCATATGCACTTCCAGTAATTTTCCCCTGGTCTCTGGATAGTAAGATTGGATGCCCATGTGTATTGCTGCGCAGGTAAAAAAAAATCCACTAGAAATTGGAAATCAAAAAGAGTAGTCTAACGGTGCTGCCCCTGCAAAATTTGGAGTTAAAAATCTACCCAATGTATTTTCAGGATCCTTGCCGGTGCTTTGGAGTTCTTGCAATGGGCTGAGATTCTTCTGACTCAGGCTTGAGTGAAATGTAGAGCAGAGAACTTATGGGTTACTACCCATGTGCCATAATGTTGATCCGTTGTTTAAACCTAATCATAATCCCGTCCCCATGTGGGATGCATTTTTTTTTTAAATTTGAAACCCCACCCTGGTTGTTGCCGGGGGGTCCTTATATAATCTAATGGTTAAACAGGGTTTCTGGGACTTCTCCACAGGTGATCCACATCCAAATAGTGGCACTTTGTGTCACCGGGGGTTTATCACTCAATGTGATGCCCTGGTGGGGTAAAAAGTCATTTAGGCATACTTACCACTGCACAAAGACATCATATCATCAAAAACTTCTAAAAGCTGGAAATATGGCTTCGCAGGGCGAAAGGATTAACATAGCTTGGGTAAATAAAGTAAAGATCCCTTTTCATGCCTTAGGCGCATCGGGCATATGGGAAGAGCACCCATATTTTTACAGACCACTCGGCACTAGGTGGGTAATGTGGTCAGCATTACGCCGGCCATCTCTACTTCCTCAGGACACACATACTTGTACCCACTTTAGGTTGGGTCGACCTGCAAAGCCCTGTATCATACAACCTGGGTATTGTATGATAAACACTGATTATAACAGATTTGTATCAGCAATGTGAATTGAAGACCTGAGGGCTTATAATAATGTTTACAGCATTGGGTACTGTAGAATACTTTTTATTATACCTGATTAGCCTTAGGAAATGTGGACTGAAGACCTGAGATCTGACACTAACCTTTACTGTGCTGAGTATTGTATCAATGCAGTCTTCAATGCTGTCCTCATCTTCAAACATGGCACTGAAATCCTCAGCACTCCATCCATCAAAGAGTACTCTGGGCACTGAAAACAAATTCACATGGAAGTTGTTAGTCAAGTAGTTATTTACTACTTTTTTTCAAGGAAGCAAAACATACTAAAGAACATGATTAGGAAGAGATCAGAACCTTATGGGTGTGCCCAAATTGTAATTAAAGCCACCTATGGTAGGCACTATAAACAGACAACCGTAAACAACAAAACTATTATCATTAAAGTATTATGTTTTATTACAGCTTTCTCAATTCAAACACAATAACATTCTGACAGAAAATACACACACAATAAACAAGAATACAATAAAATTTATGCAGAATACAAACTAACTAAAGACACACACACACAAAAACTGCACTGAAATACTCATTGAGATAATATACTATGAAACTATCAGTATTTTTATTTTATTCAGAGAGGTATATAAAATATATCTCACCCATTTGTGTCTTTCGTCCTTGAATGACTGCTGAAATCCAGTCTGTTTTTTAAAACAACAAAAAGTAAAGCATTTTAAAATAGAGCCAGGTCATACAATACTATATAACTACCACTCTAATGCCAATAAAAACAAAACCCATGTAGCTTCAGTCACCATTACGAAACAAAACACTGAAATATTAATTAATGCACACATTTTCTCCTAGAACTATTTCTTGTTTCTTTTAATTAGCTAATGACTAAGAGAAGCATTTAGTACATTTTCCTTAAAAAAAAATCCTTACAGGTCAGCAAAACAATTTTTTTATTTGGGGGGGGGGGGGGGTGTGGGGGGGGGGGGAGGTTGAGGGGGGCTTATTTACTGGCAACTGTCACGATGCAAGTAAAGGGCTCCAATTCCACACCCTTGACACATAAGCGGTATATGACAATGAAGGATGTGCCCATGATCACATCAGCTGTCTTAACATCTCAGAACATTTCCTGCTGCACATTTTAGATCCAATGAAATAAGAACACAGGTCAATTTTTTTTTTAATCTCTTGCAAGCCTTAGTAATACTTTTTAGCAGTGTAACACCGTACAAATAAATGAAGTTATGTTTGTTTCTGGGTCCAAACCATAACATTAGCTAATGGGAGTAAGACACTGGAATTGTTTGCGCAAAAAATGCTGCTTACTAGGACACAAAAAGGCATACAAAGAAACAAAAAAAAAATGATACCTTTGTCTATATCATGAGTGCCTTGCATGACATATGTCCCTCCTGCCTGCCTCTTGATTTGCAGCCAGACTGGTGACACATAGTTGAACTTTGACCCAAACAGCTTGGCCACATCATAGCCATGATTGTTCCACTGAAAGCAAACACAACACATCAACAGTCACACTGCTTACTAGAGAATACACTGACATGAAGAAGTTGAACCCTGCTGGCCCGGACTCACTCCCATAAATACCACTTATCTCCCCATTTCTGCTCCAGTCTGTCCCCAAGAAACCCAGCAACAGCCCTGGGCTCTGTTTGTGCCTGCAAAGTGTTCTGGAGGCCCGGATATGAAAATATTTACTAAAAATAGCATTGGGACAGGGGTGGGGGTCTTGTGAACAAAGTGCTTTTTTAAAGAATTTTCAAATCAATTTGAATTAGTATCAGAATTCCGATGAGGTTGTGGGTCACAGTTTGGGTTACCAATACCACTCAATAAATTCTGTAAATCCCAAGGGAAAGGTATTCCATTTAATGCTTTACTCCATTTGTGTTTATTGTTTATTTCTTTTATATATATATATATATATTTTTTTTTTAAATTGTTTTTTTAAAACTGTAGATACAAGTGTCTGTAAAAATTATTAGCGACCTAGGTCAAATGTTTTTTGTGTTTTTTTTTTCAATAGAATTTTTGGGGGGAGAACTGATGTGGGTTTCTGCATTTTATTTTAGGCTTTTCTGCGGAAAAGGGGTTGAACAACTATAAGCTATAATGGGGCTGGAAACATACACTCAATACAACTCAAAGTGTGGAAAAGGGGTTGAACAACTATAATGGGGCCGGCAACATACACTCAATATGCTTCAAAGTGTGGAAAAGGGGTTGAACAACTATAAGTTATAATGAGACTGGCTCTATATTTCACAGACCAATCAGCACTGGGTGGGTGATGTGGTCAGCATTACGCTGGACACTTGCACTTCCTAGGATTGTACCTGGTGCCACTCAAGGCTGGGTCTACCTCATAGCTTAAATTATTTAAAAGAAAAAAAGGGTCAGCTCCATCAAAGGGTTATTTTACCAATGAATGAAAAAACACAAATACGTTCCAAAGAAGTTGTATTTAAATAATCTGATAATGTGGACACAAACAATACACTGCCCAATTTATTGCGAGAAATATTTCCCTGCATCTCATCAGATGAAATTTTACAGTTACATCAACATATAATAACGAACTAAAATGGTATAAATCCAACTGAAATGCGAAGCGTTTTTTCTTGATGCATTGTGTTTTCATTTAGCTGCCGGAAGTTCATTGTAGTCCAGTGACATATCAGGTAACTTCAAATTTACTTTGGCTTGGCTTGGCTTTTTACCCCACCAGGACATCACACAAGCGATAAACACCCGATGACACAAAGTGTCACCATGCGGATGAGGATCACCGTGGAGAGGTCCCAGAAACCGCGTTCAGACATTTGGCCATAATGATGACCTGCCTATATTGCGGCCCCTGGCAAAAGCCAGAGTGGGGCTTCAAATAACAAAAAATTACGTCCTGAGAAGGACGTAAGGAATTAGTACCAATTTCACACAAATTTACTTTAAATTCCTTCTGCTTATAAAGGAGAGGGCTGTTGACTTTAATCATTACAGCTTTGGCCAGTCTCAGCATTCACCTGTTGGGTATGTAGTAAATCACACAGAAAGCACTGTCCTTGTCAATTACAGGAATCAAGCAAACGACATCCTATAGAAGAGGCCAGTTCTTTCCCGTTCACTGGTGTCTATATCCTTGTGGCATCACCCAGAAGTACATGTAGCCATTTGGGTATATGTTCTGCCACTCTAATTCCTAGTTTTCTTGCCGTTCAACAATGTTAGTCAACTGGCATTTACATGTAAATTGATAAATACAACTTTAAGCTCTTTAGAAAGTGAGGTTGGGATGGGAATGGTCTTGTACTTCACTACTGCAACAGAGGCAAAGAATGTTTGGCCAACAGCAGTTTTAGTTGGTCCTGCAGATGCTGCATGATGTCATCCTCTCCATAAGTTAGCTGGATGAATACTTGTAGTTTTAGCACTGTAATTTCATTCTGGGTGGAGCTGGCAGCTCCCTCATTGGTAAGGAAAAAGAATTTATGGTAAATGTGAAGTTACACTGATAAGTAACATGATTGCAGTGAACTTCCAGCACCTAGATGAAAATACAATGCAACGAGATAAACCATTCACATTTCAATTGCATTTATTCAGTTTTCTTGTGCTTCATTATATGTTAATGTAACTCTGTAGTAACGCACCTGACGAGATATAGGGAAATATGCCTGGCAAGAAACTGTGTAATGTATTGTTTGTTTCCGCATCTTCTAAATTCACTATGGGGAAACACCGTTTGAAAGCAGTATTTGCTGTGCTGCAAGTTAAAATATCTGATCAGATCTGTTTAGTATATTTAGACTAAACATAAAGTAAATGTTGCGCGCTGATTTGGGTAAAGTGTAATATTGTGTGAAGGGACAGTGTATGAGAGTGATTCTGTGAGTTCACGGGGAATTGTCAGCATTGGCTCGATGTTGACCAGTGAGAAGTGTAGTGCCACGAGAAAGTGGACGCGTGGGTTGCTGTGTGGAGGCTGAAAGCATGGCTAGCGAGATAAACAGAGAAAGTGTAAATTGAGTGACAGGGTGATTCTCAGGTAACATCAGCCACCCACATAAGCGTGATCCTCGAAAACGCACACATGAGCGTGAGTCTCGAGAGGACCACAGGAACATTATTCCCGAGAACGCCCATACATGAGTGCCTCTCATGTAAACATCATCCACCCACTCGAGTTCGATAGGGATAATTGGGGGGGGGGGGGGGCTGCGTAGTCAGTCAGAGGCAGTCGAAAGAAAAGAAAGAGAGAGAGAGCGAGAGAGTCAGAGACCAAGTCAGGGTCTGTGATTATCTCTCTCGAGTATAACAGACAAGAATACCATACGACTATCAGGCATTAAGGTCTGAGTAAGTGTTGAGGTTGCGGTATTGGTCGAAGGTATGGTCTCGCTGGCAAAGTAAGTCCAGTGGACGGAATGCTCCAGTAGTACCTGTTCTGGGTGGCGACATAGTGAAACGTAGGAGGACCACTAGTGAAACAGCAGGGGGTGATGCCGACGAGAGCTGTGTGCTAGAGGGGACTTATGGTAGAAGTCCCGTCGGTCATCAGAGCCCTTCGACAAGCTGACGACAGCTGTGTGTCTTTGGAGTGCGGCAAGGGAAGTCCGTCTCCAGTCAGCCGTGTTGGCTGCTGAAATAATATCAAGGTCCAGTGAATGGGAGAATTCGTCTTGTTCAGCTGTAAGGCGCGTCCAGAGTGTGGGACGCTGTAGTCCTTGGAGCTGTAGTGGTCAAGGAGAGGTCGCTACAAACTGAGAGAGAGAGCGAGTGAGGACAAATGGACTATGTGCGAATGTCAACTGTGATCAATAACTACATCTCTGCAGTTGTGTCATGTATCCTGTTGAATAAAATGTATGACGGTGTCATTGTCATCGAGTTCTGTTTCTAAGAGAGGAAGCGGAAGGGTACCTGCTAGACGCTTGGTAGTGTGCTGGCTAGTGGTAGCTCATTTAGCACACAACAGTAAAATATAAAGTAAGTATAGAAATCTGTTCCCATCTTTGGCGCAGCGGTCATATAGTGGTAAGCCTATTTTTTATAGACCAACTAGTGATGTAGTCAACATCATATCGGCTGCCTTTACTGTCCGGGACATTAACAAGTACCCACATCAGGCTCAGTCAACCTGGAAGCCAAAGTAAATTTTAAAACAAATCTGCCTCAATGCAGATTTGAACCCTTGACCTTTGGAGCAGCAAGCAAGGTGTCTAATCACTCTGTTACCACTGTTCACCTAAATATAAATAAAACAGTAAAACACCACTGACCCAAGGACTAAAGGAAATAACACCTGCTGCTTGGGACACAATAAGCTAAGCAAGTAACAATTCATAAAATAAATATCTCAACAATTGTTCCGGGAGACCACTTTGGGGAAAACAAGAACAGACCCACTGCCTCCCCAACAAGTAAGTCGTATGAGTTGACTAACTGGAGTGCACCTGCCTGAGAGGCAAGGAATTAATAGTCTGCATACAAATAAGCCAGATGTGTATGCAACACTCAGGTTATGGAATAATATTAAAGCCCAGAAGTGGACGAACAACCAGAATTTTCCCACCAGAGTTTACAGTTTGTTAACGCTTAGAAGAAGAAGAAGCCCAAGTGTGAAATATGCTCATCAGCCTTTAAGCCACATAGAAGCACATGGTTAACTGTTTGGCAGTAAAGAGTTAAAGGATGTAAGTAAAGTAAGTAAAGTAAAGGGCCCTTTTCCGTGCCTTCTAGATTGTATAGACCAAATGACACTTGGTGGGTTATGTGGTCAGCATCACACCAGCCACCTTTACTTCCCAGACTGTAGCCGGTACCTATTTAAGGCTGGGTCGACCTGGAAGCCAAGGTCATTTCTGAAAAAAAGTCTGGTCCCGGTCAGGAACAGAACCCACGACCTTCCAATCCACAGGCGAGTGTTTAGCCGCCAGATCATGGAGACTCCCATTTGAAGGATGCAAACAATAATTTAAAAAAAAAAAATTATTTTCATAACTATAAACAACTGGTATATTCACCGGAGTCACATAAGCCAGGGTTTCTCCTTCAAAGTTTTTCACTTCCCTGTCTCTGTCAAAGTGTAATAAATGTTCTTTAATTATGTCTTTCACTTTGGGGCTGGTTGTGACCAGGCCCCTGTCCACCACATTTCTGTCTGTCACTTCTATCTGTTGAAGAATGCAAATAATCATGTGAGTTTTAAATAAACACCTGGAGAGGAAAGTAATGAATCTCTTCTGTTTGTGTGTTCACCGGCTGTAAACTCCAGCAGACATTTCTGGTTGTTCATCCATGTTCTAAGACTTGGGTGCCGAATGTGCATCCATTTTTATAGATCTGACTTATTTATGTGGGGGCTGAGTGGTCTCGAGGTATGGCATCTCCCTCGAGTGCTTGAGGTCCCAGGTTCAAACCCCGGTGAAGGCTTTGATTTTTTCAGGTGGACTTTTTGTAATTTACCCCAGTCTCTGGGTAGTAAGACCGGACGCCTGTGTGTATTGTTGCGCACATAAAAAAAATCCCTTTGCAGTTGGAAATCAAAAAAGGCCTAACAGCACTGCCCAGGCAAAATTCTGAGTTAAAAATCTACCTAAAGTATTTCAGGATTCTTAGGAGTTCGTGCATGCGCTGAAATTCTTCAGACTTCAGTTAGAAGTAGAATGGAGCACTTATGGGTTACACCCGTGTACCATGATGCTGATCCATTGAATAAACAAACAAGCAAACAGACTTATTTTTGTGCAGACTGTTAATTCCTTACTTCTCAGGCAGATGTAGCCCAACTTCAAAAACACCCCCCAAAAAAATTAGCCACCTTCTAGGACACACTTATTAGGGGTCTATTCTTTCCTGTCCTAAAAATGGGATCCAGAAACCCACAAGGGGAGCCCAAATAAACAAGAAGTGAAAGCTGCTAATAGAAAATTTCACTAGTGGGCCGCAGAAAAGTCCACGTGGGCCACTTAAAGTGTTTGCCTAACCATGTAACGGCGTAGGTAGTATTTCTCTTCCAGGACTACAGTCTGTAGGATTCACACACACCAATGATGAAAATACAACAGGTAGGAATCTCAGAAACCCTGCTAAACCACAAACATCTTCTCATCTCTAAGCTGCAGCAGATGCCACATTGGCTGAAAACTAATTTTGACACATGGAAACAAAACTATTATGTTTGATCAGTCGTCAGGTGGGCCGCACAACAAGCTTCTCTGTTTTGGTGGGACCGAGGGTGTAAAAAAAAAGTTGAGGTACACTGCTCTAAAAGTTAGTTTCTATACATGGCTCAAAGGGGCAGTCTTGCAACCGTACAAAATTATGTGGAGCGGGGTGAGGTGTACTGAGATTCCCCCACACCCTTATTTATTTGTGTAGAAAGTCTGTAAGATGGTGAGGACAGCGTGGCCCATGGTGGTCATGGTGGGGACCTTGGAGGGTGTTGGGGGGCAGGTGCTGGAGGTTGAGCATCTTCAATGTCTTGCATCCACTTTCGCTGAAGTCTGCCTCTGCTCCATTTTCCTGCACCCCCTCCCCCCATCACTTTCTCTCCAGGCCACCATGGCACTTAACTCTTTGAGTCCCAGGGGGTTTAGCATCACAGGCTCAGCGGGTAGTAAAAAGTAATAAAATCGGCGCATCATGCATTTATCGGGCTTCTAGGTAGAAACCTATGAACGTATGATGCGTTCCTTGGGACTCAAAGAGTTAACAAGGCCAAATACTTCAGCTTTCAGGACAGAATGCTGTTTATGAGCCAATTCTCCTTGAATGCCTTGATGTTCGGGTCATGCAGTATGTCAGTGTTTCTCTTCTTCTTTGTCAACAGTATTCTAAGAATACAGTATTTTTCTGTAGCATTTCAGTTAGACAGAGTAACAATTATTTCATTTCCAATCATTTAAGTTAAAGACATACCTTTACTTCCTTTTTCTTTTTGCCTCTGTCACTTTTAGAAATTGTTTCTTCAGTAACAACCATAAGGCAAAACAACAACAACGCAATCATCATAGTCTTTGAAGATGTGACCTGCATTCTATTTATGATCCAAGCAGCAGCACTGCCAAGCAAGATTTTCAAAATAAAACAATCATTACTACCCATTGCAATTCAAGTACTCCTCATCTTACAACTGAGTTCTATTCTGATTAGCATGTCGCAAGTCAAAATAGTCTTATGTCAAATTTATATTTTTCAACATTATTTTTTTTATTCAAATGGGTTATAAAAATTTCACATAAAATACAAAAATTCAGTCTGTGTAGGTATAATTATTGTACATAATGCACTCTAAGCATCAGAACGGGGAACTTATTTACCTTACAAATGTAGCCTTTCTTTCTTCACTATTTTTATTTATTAATTTGTGTGTGGTCGTAAGTGTGAATGGTCGTAAGTTGCATAGGTCATAAGTCGAGGAGAAGGTGTATATTGCTGGCACTACGCCAAAGTCACTTAGGTGCAACTGCGCTGATTTACACCTAAGTGCCTTTCAAGGCTATTATTAGACACTTTATAAAATGACAAAAGCACACATGTAAATTCCGGCTCCAGACAGGTACAAATGAAGTATTACCATTTCATACAACTACACAATTTTTCCGAAGTCTCAGTGTTCAAACACGATTTTCTCAAAAGGAGTGTTTAGCAGTTAGGTGAATTTAGCATAGTACTAATGTACTAATGACATAAATCATAGCACAGTATTCATTTCCCACTTTCAGTTCCAGGGGGCTTAGCATAAGCACATTTGTGTGTGTGTGTGTGTGTGTGTGTGTGTGTGTGTGCGCGCAAGCGTGCTCGCACGTGCACATGTGTGTGTGTGTGTTAACTGTGTAAACTTGTAATGCACCAGCCAAGTAGCAGCCAAGCTGATGCTCCTTCCTATTCATATTGGTGCCTGCTCTGCCATCTGGTTCATGCACTCATGACCTTTTACTCAGCAAGTCATATAAAGTGCAACTACTGAAAGTTGGCTAGATTCAACCGGAGTATCTGGAGTCTGCCTCACTGGTCTGCCGCCTAGACTGAGATTTTTTAAAGCCCAGTGGGGAACAGGTAGCAGCCCAGAGTGGACAACCCGATCAATCAACTGATGCTGGATACCAAATCACAGTGAAGACTGCACGTTTTTAGTCTGTAAGACCGTTATGTGTTTACATTGAGTGCCAAGCTTCATTTCGAGGGTCACAGGTAGTTAGCATACTTTGCATTTTTTTTTCTCTAGACTATGCCAGTGTGGTGGGGAATGAACATGCAGACAGACTAGCTGGATCTTTACCACTGGGTGGTGAACTGATACTTAACAAGGCAGATGAGGTCAAGGCCCTTAGGGAACAAGTAACGGCTCTACTTTGAACTTCCCCATAAAATGGCGGCCGTAATATGATGCCGTTCGAAAGAGAGCGAAATTGGCCAATTTCTGGCTATAAAATATCCAAAAATATCCAAATGGGGCTCAGTTCTATTAAAAATATATGTGCCGGCTCCGTATAACAAAACAAATGCTCTAACAGGGTCTCGGCGATACGTTACTTGCGGACCTGCTTCTGCGAGTGTGCCCTCACCGTCGACCGTATTCCCTGCGCCGCTGCGCGCGGCGCAGATGGGGACTAAACTAGATGGCTGGGACTCACGAGCGGCAGCTACCGCATCTCCTGCAACTTCCTCCAGTTACTTTACTCGTGAGTTCCAGGCACCTAGCCCCCCCCCCCCCCCCCCCCCCCCCCCCCCCCCCCCCCCCCCCCCCCCCCCCCCCCCCCCCATATACAGGGGATACAGTCGGCGATGAGTTTAATCGCGTTTGGCGCATGCCGACAAGTCTAACATCTATCGCCGCTAAATCCTCCCATTGGAAGAACACAGTATTGCTAATCGGCTTTCATCGTCTGTAATGTCTTGAAATTGGTCAACGGTCGCTAATATCATCTGCTAGTATCGTCGTCTGCAGAAACGCTCAAAATTGTCCAACGGTCAGCATTTATCGTCTGCTACTACGGTGTGCAATGTTGATATTCATTGTCAAGTAATCCTAGTTTTGTTGCGATTTGTTCCTTGGCAGAAAGTCAGTATTTTAGATATACATGAAAACCATTTGGATATTTTTGGATATTTTATGGCCAGAATGTGCTATCATATTACGGCCGCCATTTTATGGGGAAGTTCAAAGTAGAGCCCAAGTAACAAAGTCAGAAGAGAAACTGAATAATTATGGCCTGGAGAGAATGATGCACCGGGGTGTGGCCAGAGGGTCTGGTCGGCTCACTACATTCAGAGAAAAGGCAACACAGTCATATGACCAAACTACAACCTGTACCATTAGTACTCAACAAACAGTACACTGGTACTCTGTGCTGGCTGCTAAAGATAGGGATGGAGCTCATATGGGAATGCCTGAGTGCCGTGATGTCTACTGTCGACTCAAATCAACTCTGCTTTTCACGTGAATATATAAACTTTTGACTGTTATGTTCCAAATTTTTTTTTTTTTTACGGCAGAAAAAAGTTTTCACACAAACAATGCAATGTTCTCTCTGGAGTTTGACCAGTTAAGAAGTATCTAAAATAATATTGCGAAACAAATCACTTTCGCCACTGTCTTAGTCTTAGAGCATACGTTTTAGGCTTAAATAGGTTCTGTCGGAATACACATTTCACGATCTATCCAAAAATATGTATCTAATTATTTCATACCTCTGGGAAGGTTAATAAAGTAATAATTGTTTCTTGTTAAACTTTAACTAAACTTAAAATAATTGCAGTTTAAAAAAAAAGTGAACATACCGTTGGCCACGTCAAAAGGTCAGCTAACACTGGAAATTTTACCTTCTTTCCAAATTGTGCGGATTTTAAAAGATAAGTGCAGTAACTACAAGGCAACACTGTAATTCACTAAACTATCTTCAACGACCCAACCCAGAGGGATCGGGGAGAAGTTGTCATTGAAGATCTTTCGTATTTCGTGTCGATGCAGACGACACACACAACATAGAGACGAACATTCTTGCCTCACCCCACACAAGAGCTCTGCTCTGCTACCGGCAATCGTGTGTAGTTAATACCCGTGCAATCTGTCACATTAAATACACTTAATCCGTAAAACTGTCTTCTTCTGCTTCTTCTTCTTCTTGTCTGTTTTCCGGCGGAAAGTCCTGTTGTTCGTTCATCTGGACTTTGGCCTGGTGCTTAGGCCTCAGTTTTGCGTGTACATCCGTTTTACTGGCTTATTTGTGTGCAGTTGGTTGTCCCTTTACGCTCAGGCATATGCAGTACGAAGTCCAAAGAAAGTCGCCAATTAGTCAGCTCCTTCGACATGCTTGTTAGGGAGGCTGTGAATTTATTTTTATTTCCCATGAAAAAGGGGAGGAGGTTTAATATACCCCAATAGATTAATTTTTGGTACTCTTCCGAATAACGATCCCGAATTATTCAAAGACAAAAACATCCCATAATACTAGAGTAATTGACAAGAAAAAAGACCCAATACTGAAAGTAAATAACGATACAGGTCTATCTCAGTTATAACCCAGAACCTACCCCCCCCCCCCCGCCCCCCCCCAATCCCCGGAATTTTTTTTTAGGAGAGAGGCCTCTAAGGACCGTTGCCCCCCCCCCCCTTTTCCCCACCAACCACCATTTTATAGGGAACTGAGGCCCACTTTATAGAAAATTTGCAAGTTGGTTTAAAGTAGGTCATGCCACAGCAAATATAGATCTAAAGTAGGTCATGGCTCAGTCACCGTAATATTGTTTTCATGTTCTTTTTTTTTCAAGCAGTGTATTTATTTATACATTTAATACTATTATAAATATTGTCATTTGACATTCAACACATAAAAATCATAACAATAATAAACTATTATTGTCACTGCGCACTTATACAAGGCTTTAAAACACTATAGAACATTATAAGCCCTCCTCCCATCCCCTCACCCCACCTAGATTGCTTCGTGACGGTGGTGAGCGTGAACCCAGATGGGTTGAACAGGATAGTGTTTAAATTACTACAACGAGAAGTACGTCAATATCACAAGTAAGCCTGATGTTATTGCAAAGCATTAAAAAAATATTTACTATGTTCAATCGTGAAAAATTACAAGCTAGGAACCATAAATATCCATTACATGAAAACACTAAAATCTATAAATGCTATGTATAATCTAGAAGGGCTGAAATTAAATTTATATATATATATATATATATATATATATATATATATATATATATATATATATATATATATATATATATATATATATATATACTACCACTTGTAGTTCAATGGAAGGAATTTACAAGAACAGGAGAAGGGAATATATATAATTACAATAATCGTCTAACAGTCGTAGACTATCTCCAGGCAATGTTATAATTCGAATGTTCGAATGTGAATCATTTAGACCGACAGGGATAGTCTAGAACAGTCGCCTCCAGCATTTGTCTGGTGGCGCCCTCTCCCATTTGAGTATATGGTAAAGCCCCGAACCCCTCCTCCTCGACCTCCCCCCTTGCTACCCTACGACCCCCCCCCCCCCCACCTTCCCGCCAACTTAAAAAAAAAATCATTAAAAAAATAGTACAAACAGAAAAATTTCAAGTACCGTTAAAAAGAAATTGGAGAAAACACACATACAGAATTTAAAGTGTCAAATATCAAAAGAAACAGTCGCCAAAAACTCGTAACATAGTTTGCAAATGGCAATGTGACATCAGACCGGAAGCGCTATTTTGCTTTCATGTCTGTTATAGCTGAGAATCCTAATTTTTACAAGTACACACGAACTAAGTTTCAAAACTGCTTGACGCCTCTCTCCCCCTTTCCTTCCTTTTGTTGTTGTTTGCGTTCACCGGCTGTAAACTCAGGCGAAAAAAACCTGTTTGTTCGTCCATTTCTGGACTTTGGCTTTGTTCCAGAACCTGAGTTTAACGTGTGCATCAGTTTAACAGCTCTTGATTATGTGTATGCAGACTGTTGGTTCCTTGCCTCTCAGGCAGATGTTCTCTGACTTTAAAGGAAGCGCCAAATAAGTCGACTC